CTCGCCACAATGTTGAGGTCAATATCTCAACAGGATCCACAATTCCCTTGGGGGTAAAATCGCCTGCAACAATATTTCCTCCCTCCGCCATCCCCTTTTTAAAAAAAAAAAAAAAAAACCACCACAAAATTTCCCGCCGCAAACAGTTTGCAGAGGCCCCAAACTTTCCCCCCCTAAATCCTTACGGAAATCCGAACACACACACACCCCAAAATGCGGTTTTGGAATCCCATTTCGTGGTTCCACATTTTAAAAAATGGAAAATTTTCGATGGAAATAGGAGGAAACCAAACCTCAAATGTTTTGAATTTCCCACAACGAGTAACTGGCCCGTCGTGGGCAGCTGCATTGCACGGAGGAACCAGGAGTCTGACGGGGGATAATCCAACGCCCATGACGGTCACGTCCCAAGCTGGAAAACGCCTGGTTTACCCCCTAGAACCAGGGCGTCGTCCCTCTTCAAACCCCCAGCGCTAACTGGTTTGCCTCTGAATATCCCCGCGATTCTTGCTGAATTCTTGGCTTCAAATGCCTCCAGCCCCACAGACAACCCATAGCTTCATAGTGTTTAAGGCCAGAAGGAATCGTCCAACCATCCAGGAGGTCTTGGATATCACAGGCCATGAAATCTCGCCCGGTTCCCCCACTACTGAGCCCAAAGTCTTGACCTGCGGTTCTCAAACAGTGGGTCGTGACTCCGTTTTGAGCAGGGGGGCTGATGCCCCGAGCCCCCAGCTGAGTGAGACCAAAGCAACTCACTCCTCAAGGGACTACACTATTGTGCACCCCGTCTCCTTCTCTCGCCCTCCCCAGCCCCTCCTGAGATACAGACACTACACACAGGGGATAACAACCTACCATACCAACCAGACCAACACACGGTAGAGCAGCAACCCTTCAGTAACAACCAGCTCTGCACAGGGCATATCGCAACAATGCTACGGGAACAACTACCCCAACACACAGTGTATGTATACCAGCAACTCGACATTAACCACCATCCCCACACCCAGCACACAGCAACACCCCCCACGGGAACAATCGCGCTTACGCAGGAGGTCTAGTAACACCCCAATATTAACACCCGTCCCCAGGCAGGATGTAAAGTAACAACCATGGAGTAAAAATCATCCCCCCACACACAGTAGACCATCGACCCTCAGACTTCCCCCAGCGACACTCCATAACCAACCGTACACACACACACTATAGCAACATCTTACATTAACAACCATCCCCACAAACAGCGTTTAGCAACAATCCTACATTAACAACCATCACTGCAGTATGTAGCAACACCTCTACAGCAGCAAACACACACACACACACACACACACACACACACACACACACACACACACACACACACACACACACACAGAGTGTATAGTGCCACCCCTACATTAACAACTGGCCGCACCCAGTGCATATCGACTTCTTAGCAATATAAGCCATCTCTATATACTGGGTTATAGCAACAATCTGACCTTAAATACCATCGGGGTGGGGGGTAGCAACATTCCTACAATATCAACCGTTCCCACGGATATTGCATAGAAGCAACCACACGTTAACCACCACAACACCCACAGTGTGGAGCAGCAACCCGACATTAATAACTATCCTCACACACAGGGGATAGCAACATCTGTCCCATAGCAACCCTCCCCACATGGACTGCAGAGAAACAACCCTACACTACCAACCAGACCCACACACAGTGTTTAGCAACAGCTCTACAGTAACACACATTTGCACACACAGTACAACCACCCAACAGTAACAACCATACACACACAGTGTACAGCAGCAAACCTACATTAACAACCAACCTCACATGCCACATGGTAGCAACCCTACCTTAACAGCCGTCTCCACACACAATGTGTCGCAACAACCCTACATCAACCAATACACTACAGGTATCAATGGTGCAACAGCCACACAATAACAACCACCCCACATACACATGATCTAGCAACAGTCTTGCAGTAACAACCTTCCCCACGCAGTATGTAGACCAACCATTGTTCATTAGCAAACCTCTTCACACACCACACATAGCTACAACCCTATATCACAGCCACTAGTTGACACTGCTTATTGCAACACTCTTCCAAGAACAACGGTCCCCACAGTGCATTGTAGCAACCCCTATATAAACAACCATCCACACTCAGTGTACAGTGACTATTTTAATTAACAACCCATTGCACACAGTGTATGGCAGCAATCGGACAGTAACAGCCCTCTCCACGGTGTACTGCAACAACCCTGTACCTACGGAGCATAGTCGACACTCACAGTGCAGATCAACATCCCGACCATAACAACCGTCTGCACACACGGTGTAGCGTAGAAAACGTACACTAATAACTATTCACACACACACGGCATGTAGCAACCAGCCGACATTAACAACTGGTCTCATAGTGTTAAGTAACCACCCACCATCAAAAACCATCCCCACACACAGCGTATAGCAACAACTCTGCAATAACCACTGTCACTAGAGACTTTATTAACCACACATTAAAAACCATCACCACACACAGAATATAGCACCAACCTGACATTAACAACCATGTACACACACACTACATAGCAGGCTGTATAGGGCCCATCATCCACACCCACAGCATTAGCCACTGTTGACACATACAGTTTATTACAACTGTACCCACACACCATCTATAGCAGCAACCCTACAGTAACAACCGTCCACAAAGTGAACATGAGAACAGCCAGACTGGGTCACACCAAAGGTCCATCAAGCCCAGGATCCTGTCTCCCGACAGTGGCCAATGCCAGGCGCCCCCGAGGGAATGAACAGAACAGGGAATCAATCAAGTGATCCATCCCCTGTCGCCCATTCCCAGCTTCTGGCAAACAGAGGCTAGGGACACCATCCCTGTCCATCCTGGCTAATAGCCATTCATGGACCTATCCTCCATGAATGTTTCTAGTCCTTTTTTTAACCCTGTTATAGTCCTGGCCTTCACAACATCCTTTGGCAAGGAGTTCCACAGGTTGTCAGTGCGTTGTGTAAAGAAATACTTCCCTTTGTTTGTGTTAAACCTGCTGCCTGTTCATTTCATTGGGTGACCCCTAGTTCTTGTGTTATGAGCAGGAGTAAATAACACGTCCTGATTTACTTTCTCCACCCCAGTCATGATTTTATAGACCTCTACCATACCCCCCCTCAGTTGTCTCTTTTCCAAGCTGAAAAGTCTCAGTCTTATTCATCTCACCTCATACGGCCGCCGTTCCATCCCCTTCATCATGTAGAGCAAAAACCTTACCATAAAAGCGGTGCAGACACGTGGGTGCTGGGCACCAGGTTTGGATAATTTTTGGTGGTGCCCAGAACGGGTCCAAGCAGAGCCGTCCCGTCCATCGGACGGAATGGGGCAATTGCCCCGGGCCCCGCGCTTTGGGGGGATGTGGGGTCCAGGGCGGCCTGGGGGGTTAGCGGGGGGCCTGGCGCCGGCAGCAGCAAGCGAGCCAGCTCCATCCCACCCCTGCTCCGCCCTCTTCCCGCCCCCCTTCCCCCTAGCCCCCGCCTCTTTCCGGCTTCCGCCCCGAGTGACGCCGGGAGCCGGCAGGGCGGGCTGGGGCCGGGTCGCTCGCTCGCTGCTACCAGCGCCAGGCCCCCCGCTAACCCCCCAGGCCAGAAGGGACCCGCTAGATCATCTCCTCCAGGGCCGGCTCCAGGCACCAGCAAACCAAGCACGTGCTTGGGGCGGCACATTTTCAGGGGTGGCATTCCGGCCATCGATTTTTGGGGTGGGGGGGGTTGGTTTTTTTGCTTGGGGCGGCAAAAGCCTAGAGTCGGCCCTGGCAGCAGCAGCGCGGGGGGGCGCCCTGGGGCCGCTGCGGTTTGTGTCGGGAAGCCAGGTCGGGTGGGCTCCGAGCACGGGACACTCGGGACACACAGGGCACACGGAGCCGCCTGCAGGTGCCGCAGGGCGGTCGCCCCCCAATGCCACAGCCGGCCCTGGGCTCCTCTGACCTCCTGTCCCACCTCACAGGCCGTCTGTTCCCCCCTCCCCGCCCCCAACCTCTGGACACACAGAGGGCCCTTTGAACGGGTTGTCCGTCGGGGTCACGGCCTCGCCAAGGCCAGCCAGGCCGGAAGGCAGGGTCCTCCCAGCGGTTCACTCACCCGCCCCCAAAGCCTGTTCCCTGCCCCACCCCAGCCCCGGACATTTAACCAGCTATAACCACCCAGCCGCCACTCGCCGGCTCCAGCCGCCCGGCGACCTGCGCCGCTATCAGACCACCTAGCAAAACGCCCCGCTATTTAACCCGAAATCAAGCACCCCCAAAACTACACCCACAGGGCACAGGCGGGATGCAGCGACTGTTTCACACGGCAGTCCATCGACGCCCAGCAGCAGGAGCCCCGCGGCGGTTAGCGGCCGGCCGTAGCTTCGCTCGCCGCGCTGCCTGTCGACAGGGTCTGGAAGCCGTTTCCTCCCCGCTCGCCAGACCCAGGTTCCCCAAGAATACCGAACGGGAGGTGGGAGACTTTTCCGTGTCGCCCCCGGGGATTCACATCCGAAGCCAAGGGGGCGATTCTTCCTCTTTGCCAAAGAGTGGGGGGAGGAGACCAAGGAAGATCCCCGTCCCTCTGGGGGAAAAATCCCAACTTTTTAAAAAGGGGGAGCTTCAAAACCGAATGGAAAAACTTCGCATGTCGCTTGCCCCCTTCTCCAGTGGCGAAAACCATGGAGGGAAACAACATGAAAAGTTTTCCTTTTGTTCTCCTTTTTGTTTGAAGTGGCCCCCGCTCTTTTTAAAACAGTTTTGAGTCCAAGGGGATCTTTTTAGACCCCTCCTCCAAAAATAACAAATCTCCCCCCTCTGAGTCGAAACTTT